AAAAACAGATAAGCCCCTCTGTCCAAGTTAATTACAATTTCCATTCCAATTAAAAATAATGTCAACCCATCAGCCCAACAAATGCAATGTCTAGTACAACCCAAATGGAAGACCAGTTAACTTGACAGTTAACAGTAAATAGCTTTAAATGTAACAATTTGCACAGTTTTGCAAAACCACTGCTTATTTCAAATGTGGAATTATATTTAACAATTCTTAGCTTATAATGACTATCTGCAATGTAGGATATAAATTAAAACACAGAACCAAAAATCCATAAGAAACCATGTAATTAATCATTCTTTTGTGAAAGTAACTGAATGTTCTGGCTCTCCTGCTTTAGCTGAAAGTTTATTGAATCAAGTGCTGCCTACATTCGTCTCTAAGGTTACCCATTTGGTGGTACACACTACAACACTTTATTTTAGAGCAAAAGCTCTGAATAGAGCAACACGCTGCAATAAAATGTCTCTTTGTCTCCTCACAACACTTTTCTTTCTTACCTCTCTCCTAATGGCGCTGAAAACCTTCTCAAGGACCGATCCTGCTCATTATTTCATTTGTCAAATGTATATGCTGGGAAAAGGCTGGTGGGTGCCACTGCTGGAACAAACCAGCGTGCTTTAACCTGATCGTGTTGAAGATGTCCCTGCTCATTGCGGGGGGGTTGGACTAGATGGCCTTTAAAGGTCCCTTCCAGCCCAAACCATTCTATGATTCTTCAGGCTTGTTCTGCTCTTTGTTAAGGTTTTGTGAGGTTCTGCCCATTTTATTAAAGCAATTCTTCCCTGGTATCAACAGAGACAAAATATTCTGTCCATGGATATACTCCCTGTCCTTTCCTTCACAGGGATGTTAGAGCACTTGCAGACACTGCCCAAGCTGTAATTCCTGCCAGCTGCTCTCTCAGCTGCAGTGCGTTTGAGTGGATCACCAAGTGCCCTGCCCAAGCTCCCCACCCTCACCTTTCAGTAACTGGAGAACAGTAAGACAACCCCACTTAGTCATTAATTACAAGGATTTTTCTTATTCCTGATGTAGCAATTTAATGTCTTTGCCTATCAATTACATTCCTGTTCCAGTGCTTCTTTACCATCAGAGAAACTCGAGACCAGTGTTGGAGTCAAAAAGGACTGGGGCCAAAGAAACTCATGCACTATGAGAGGTGCAAAGGCTCTGCACTGGGTGGAGGACGTGGCTACTGCCTGCACAGGTGCCTGCTCCCTACCTGAGCCCTCTGCACATCAGCTGTACCTCAACATCTAAATTCCCTTACAAGCACCCCGACAGCTGTACTCTGAACTCTCTTGCAACACCAAACTACATTTTAGCAGAAAACATTTTTTCTAATCACTTTCCTTACAGAAATATTTCCTGAGTACCTTCCTACCAATTATCTTCCCTCTGCCAGTTTTATCAATCAGAAGCTTTTCTTTTTTCTTTGGTCGTGAAATGTAAAAATGGACTGTTAGCCCTTTATGGGATATTTTAATTAAAAAAATGGTACATATCATTCTTGTCCTCATGGGGTACAACAATTATTAAATCAATTTTGTTGTTGTTGAGTTAGACTTAGGTAGGATATTGGATTTCTAAACTAATTACACAGGCAAGAAGTCTCTACTCCCAAGTTTAATGAAAGCTTTGGACTGCATACACTCAGGTGGTTTAATTCCTTAATTCTATCCAAATACCTGATCTAACAGCACTTTTTAATTTTCTGGCATTGGAAAGCAGGTACTTATTTCACTTACCACCGCAAAACTGTGGTACTAGGTTTGTGGGAAGCATGCTGCATTACCCCCTGGTGAGGGAATCACCAACACTCGTCATTCACCTACCTGCTTGAAGCCAGGCTCCTTCTCGACTTTCATGCACAAAATGCCACAGACAGAAATTTCACTAAATCCTTTCTTTTCTGTTCAAAGCTCCAGGCACCTTGGAAGTCGTGACTCTCCTTAGCCACATCCCACGAGCTCCCCATTTTCTGAAGCACTCTTGAAAAAAGGCAAGGGATCTTAACAGTAATGAAAGATGTTTTGCAGAAGATGGACCAGTAATCAATATCAGTGAGGTTCTTCCTTCCCTAGAGGCGATCGACTTGACAGCAGGAGTTACTGGAAGTAAGTAAAAAACACTAGGACCACTGCACCTCATCTATGTGCTTTTAGGCTGTGCAACGAAACCAGTATTGAGCCTCTTTGAGCCAGGCTTTCTCTCGCTTCAGTTTCTTCAGCAACATGTAATAAACCTGTACTGAGGGATACTAGGTTACACCTTGTATCCGCTGCGTTTTATTAAAGGAGCCAACACTCAACACTTCCAAGTTCCCATGGAGAAACTTTGGCTTCAGATCAAATGCAAGCTCTTCCCTCTTAAAAGGCACAATTTCTCAACTAAATGAACCTAAGTGACTCCAAACTCAAAATAAGTGCCAGAGCTGAGAGAACAGAGGCAATCATCTTCATTTTCAGACACAGCTAGATCTACATATGACAAAACGAGCAGTTGGTTATAGCAAATCATAGCAGACATTGCTCAAATCAGGTCATAAATAATTCTGTCCTCACTGCAAAAAGATTAAAAAAATTAATTTAAAAATAATCAGCTTTTCTTTGTACTGAACAATCTGGAAAAAATATTCCAATTGACATGCAGCTACTCCCGATTTTGTAATATAATTGAAATTTCAATATGACCTACAGGTTTCATAGATTTTGCAAGTCCTAATAGCAGAAAAAGGAGTGAGGAAATCAAGAAGGTAGAGATAAGCTCAACAAGCAGCAAATGGATATGCTGATTCCCTAGCTTTCCATAAATTAATAGGTCTAGTCTAATAAATGTCACATTTTAAGGACAGCTGAATCAAACAGTAATTTTTCAGACCTAAAATGTCATCACAGTGCTTAACAATGGATAAGCTACAAAAACCCTACACTTTTCATGCCATTTCTGTGCAATGTGTGCTAATTTTTTGACCTATACTACAGATCACATTGACTAATTAAGTGATTGCTATTAGCTATGTATGTAGATTTTGATAGATAACAATATTCAGTTATGCTGAAAGTAGGAGAAATATTTGAACAGGTTAGCAAGAGTAGAGACAGCTCCAGACCTCCCCTTGCACCAAATTCTTTAGTCTAACTAGAATCAGAGGCTGCATCCGTAAATACATGCGCAATACTGGAATTTAACTCAAGTACAAGAATTCAGTAAAACCAATTAATTGGAGTCTGATGCTAACCCTCCTATACATATTTATATAAAAATACCTGTATTTGTAGCACAGTGTGAGAAATACTAAAAACATTAAAAGCATACCACACTTCCACACAGATAACCCACATTTCAGGTAACACACTTTTTAAACACAGCAGTCCTGGCAAAAGCATTCTTGCAGAAACCATGTCCTCATATCACCTTTATATGCAGGTAAATTGATCAGAAATGGAGGCGAGATGCTGGGGTAGAAAGAGCAAGGAATGGGGGTCTGCAACAGAGAGCTATGGGGAGAGGAGGAGACACATGTCTGAGATAACGGATTTCCTGAGCACATGCTTCAACCTAGGGCTGAGACAAGAGCCCCGTTTGTTTTCTTTTGGAGCTGAGTAAAGGCTCTATGTATGAAACGTAGTAAATAGGAACATGTTCTGGTGTCTCACAGAGAAACAGCCAGCACATATTGAGAAGAATGAACCTTTTCAGCTGGCCTCTGCCTGCCACATCCATGCAGGACGCTCAACGCGTGCACACAGACCGCGGTTTCTTCATGTGCATTTGGCTGAAATCAGGAAAAACGTCTAATGGAGTTAACCCAGATTAGGACCTCATTTACTGCATTTGGTTAGGAAGAGCATCAGCATTTTCAGGTGAGCTTTTATTAAGTGATGGGTGTAATTTACAATCTAGACGTCCCAGCCAATAGAAGACTTTAAAATGTTGCTCCTCTATTAGAAAACAGGATTTGCAAAACCTTGTTTGAATTCTTCCCTTACTTTTTTTGTTGTTCTGTATGGTGTTATTATAGTGCACACAGTAGCCTCCATACATATACACTGTACCTACACTACATGTGTACTCCATATGTAATACGAATACCACAAAGCAAAGCCATACTTTGTGGTGACACTGGGACCCAGACAAGGTATCATTGCACATTAAAATTGTATTAAACTAATTGAAAAATAGTTAAACACTGCTAATAAAACAAGATAAATACTAAACATTAAAAGACAGAGACTTTCCAGTGTTCCATAAAACCGCACCTTTCAGACAAATTAATTATTTGCATTATAAAAAAATGCTAAATGTAAAAGAAAATATTCCAGAAGAAAGTAATGAGTAAAAAGCTTCAGGTGATTTTTGATTACATTAAAAACAATTCCCATTCTTCATAAAATATGCAGAACTTTGCATCTTAAATAGTATAAGTTACCTTCAAAAAATTATTTTCTTTTTAATCTTGCAAGAAATTAAATCTTAATTGGGTAGCAAAGCATTTGGAATATATCCATAAAGAAAAAAACCTACAGCTATTCTAATGTAAGTGGCACAGCATCTGTCAAGGGTTTTCACATACCTTCAGGAAGATACCTTAAATTAAGTCAACATTGTACTTGATTTCAGTGATCAGAGTTAATATTCTGCAAACCCAAACTGGCTGCCTTGTTTATTTCATAGTTTCAATTTCTATTGCTGTAATTCACCTTGGCAAATAAATAGATGTATGAAGGGCTCACCCTCTGAATAAATAATAAAATTTAACTTGTCAGGAGCTTCCTTTGCCTTGAATGAAAAACATTTCATTTCTTTGTGATGATGCTGAATCTAAATCCTGTTGCAAAAGACTTAAGGAGTGAAAACTAATGGCATGATCCAGTTAGGTGGCCACCTTGATGAACGTCAGAATTACATGAGACCAGATGGAAGAAAAGAAAGATATGCTATACAAAATACATCTTCATTTGAGGAGTAAAGTATTACTCAGTGGCATTATACATTGTTAATAAATTTTCTTTATCTGAAACTATAATTTAATATTTATGTATCTAATTTACATGTGACAAAGTAGCATATTCTAAAATTAGAGTGTAACCAGCAAACTATTAACTACTATAAATGATACCAGAACACAACCCAAACATATTTTAAAGGAAACAATGATACATTTTGGACTGGGGAAATTTTTCAATTGCAGATATTTTTTTAAATACAGCTGTTAATTACGTCTTGAAAAGAATTCTTCAAGCTCATAAAGATCTTCTGCTTAGGGAATCCTGGGTATATACATAAAGACCAAGAGTACACTATCAAAAGTCCCTTATTGGTTACTAGTAGGTAGAGTAATAATAGTAAATGCTGAAATTGGGGGGAAAAAATCATTTTCAATATCAGTGTTATATGATGCACTAGACAATATATCCCCTTTGAGCAGAAACTAGAGAAAAATATCGTGCCCTTTATTATCTCTGTGGTTTCTTACGTGTAATAGCGAAAGAATTGCACTTATTGTAACATTAAAGTGTTAGATCGCAGCTCACCTTTTAAAACATTAGTGGCCATAATACTTATGATAGGTTGTGCCTTATGCAAAGATGAATAAAGATGTGCATTTAAATTAAAAAACGAGCAACCACTTACAGAACCAACAGTGAGGCTTAACATAAACATGCACTAACTCTACACTTATGCAAAACTAAGTTCTTCCAGGAAACTGTAACCAACTGTTGACCTTCCACAAAGGTAAAGGTTTTGTCCCTTGGTAATAAGTTTGGACTTTGTAGTCGAATTCCAGTTTATTAGCTCATTGTCTGTAAATGTGCTGTTCCACTGTGATATCCTTTAGCTGCCCTTGAGCTTCTGCAGAATCTGCAATCTCACAGTCACTTTTATTTAAGGTTTTATTGAGCCGCAAAGTAAGTCCCCTTCAGTACTACACAAATAGGTCTCCTTATTCATCCTCTTCAGGTTCCTGTGGTAAAATTGGTGTCTCCTCCTTTAAACAAGCACTAAAAAACCCAAGGATTGTGCTGTAAAGGTGATATTTGCTTTTCTCAGAAGCAATGTTATGACCTTCATCCGGGTAGATCTAGCAGAGGAGAAAGGAAAAAAGTAAATAGATTTTAAAGGCTTTTCAAATATTTAGGGCTCCAATTTTCTTTCTCTCATCTTCAAAATGTTTTGGATGACAACAGGATGATAACATTAGTTTTATGGCATCAAGGAAAGCTAATAAAACTCAAAGTAAAACTCATTCTCTTGGAATTTGAACTTACATAAAACAGCCACTGCAGTGGGATCTGCAGAAGTGAAAAAATTTATATTCTCAGTCATTGTGCTTACAACAGTTTACTTAGCTGGCATTTTCAATAGTGTCTAGGCATCCAAATCCCATTAATGTCAATGAGGATTAATTACCTCATGGTTTTAGGGGCCTCTCAATATCCCAGCTTCTAAGTGTTCAGCAAAAAACCTTTTTTATTCATATTTTTAACTAGCTGCTATTGGTAAAGCTCCTTCCCCAAACTCAGGTTATCCCAAGGTTGCATGAAAACTCTTCAACAAGGCTCTTCTGAGAGACTGCCATCATTTGTGCTTCATCCTCTTCCCACCTCAGCCGAAATCACAGGGACAGCTGGAACAGATCCTACCTTACTCTGATTTCACACAAAGTCCTTTTCCTTTCATAAGTGACGCTAACCCCCTGTTACCACCTCCTCCTTGACGTGAGCTCACATGCTTCAGTGGAATCTACAGGTTCACCTAAGGTTCAGTAAGGTTGAGGCTTGCAATGTGTAACATCAAAGAGTGGTAACAGATTGTAAAGCACTTTGTTTAGCATGGTAGGATAAACAGGAAAAAAAACAAACAAAAAACCGAAACAAAAAACCCCAAAACCAAAGCAAAACAAAACAAAACAAAAAATAAAAAAAGGAGAGAGAAAGATCCCAGAAGAATGACAAGAAGATACTGCTCCTGACATCCATACTAAGAGTAAGAAAAATGGAATTAAAAGGAGTTCTAATTGCAAACTGAGGTAATACTGGTATGTTGTGGTAGGGGCTTCCTTCTCAGGGAAGAAATAGCAATATCAGGTTAAATGTTGAACTGTGTTTATAGGAAATGTCACAGCTGCACATACCTGCATAGTGTAATTAACTCCAGCTTTTATTAGATGTTTAATTAGTTCTGCCGAATGTTGGAAGTGGACTTTAGCTGCAAGACAACAACATTTGGATATTAATAGAAAAACTATGCTAATATGAAATAGTTATCTGTCAAACAGCTTTGACTGAAAACACTTCCAACCTCTTTTAATTACTGGCTCTGAAGCTGACTGTCTTTCCAGTCAGAAATGAACAGCTCCTCCAGTAACAGCGACGCAAGGTGTAACAGCCGAAGTTTTGGAGCCCCAAGGGAAGCCATGCTTTCCAGAGGCTCCAGGATGATTCCTCTCTCTACCCTTGATCTACACACACTGCCATAGTTTAGAGGTGCATAAAACCATACTGTCTGAACATCGTGACAGTTTATAATTGTGTTAAAGGAAAGCACATTGGATTTTATACTGCTTGCTCAGGGTTACTACACTCCGTACTTCTTTAGGTAATGGACTTTCTGCAACACACCAGTAACTTAATGTTTTTGTGGTAAAAACAGGCAACTTTATTATTGTGTCCTAACCCTGCAGAGCTTAGGGCTGGGCTGGGTGGTGTCACCAGATGTGACATTAAGCAAGGGCAGCAGGCAATCAGAGTCCTAGTCTTGAACACTATATTGCTCAGACACCTATCAGAGTCTCAATTCCCTCCAGCACCCAGTTCAGAGGGGTAGAAATTGCTGCTGTCTTTTACAATCAGCGAAGTCTGAGACCCTCATGCCTGCTCAGTCATCCAACATATCTCCTCTGTCCCTCTTCCTCCTGCTCTGGAAAGAAACATGGGACACGTTTGCACCCCTCTGATTGCACTTGGGGTCCATAACATGGCTTTGACAGGTGACACCAGGGTGACAAGCTGGCGGATGACATCCTCACTGTGCTAAGTGTGTGTTTGGGCACTCTCACATCAGCCCTTGCCAGTGTGAGGTACTTATCCCTCCAGACTGAAGAGTAAGAAACCTTGTATGACCCCACATTCACCAGGAAAATGCCAGGGAAAGCAGAAGTACGCATGCCAATCTTCACAGTGCCAGTCTTCACTGCAGCACTGTAATTTGTGCCTGCATCAAAGCTCATTCGTTAGACCTACATCAGTTAAGAAAGTTCAGAAAAAATATGCTGCAGTTAAATTTAAATCTGTAATTATAAATTCTCTCTTGATTGACACATCTTATGATTCCATTTAAAGTGCCAGAACTTACTCTGTTTTACTCATTCTCTGCCTTTAACTACTGCTAAAAGTACAGGTGCTATTAAAAGGTTCCCTGTAGCTTCAGCTTCAGATGCTTTGGCACTACCTCGTAATTAATTAGCTGAAAAGTTTAACTTCCCATTTGCTGCTGTACCTCACCCCTGTACTGATAATTCTTTCTTCAATTGCAGAATCTCTGCGAATTTAAAATACCATTAAAAATGTATGTTGTTCTATTAATAATTCATATAATACCTTTCACTAGCAAGACGGTGGTCCACAAGATTTAAACAAATTAGAACATACAGCACCTGAAAGGTACAAATATTCAGCGAAGAAAAGCATAATCAGATTAGAGTTCAAGTGACAACTGAAATAAAATAAAAAATCCTATCAGAGGGATAATGAAGCCAAAAATGTACTTGCCAGGTGTGTGCCTAATCTGTCTTTGAATGCCTGCCTATTAAAATCCCTGGCTCCAAATGTAATTGCATCTGTAAATACTTACTATCAGCTGTCCCATGAACTATTAGCAAGTTCGCTTCCTTTAAACCATGAAGATTGTGTAATACGCTGGATGCCTAGTAAGGAAACACACACACAGGTGTAACCGAATTGCATTTTAAGAGTAAAACTGTCATTTTAAGTTACTTGTTTACACTAACTTACCTGATAGGTATTTTCCTCTCTTGATGGAATACCAAGGTATCTTTCTGAAAAAGCTGATGCTGTGAAAATAAAACCAATTTGTCAAAATTACTTCTATTTTAAAACTCATCAGTTCTGACTTAGTCAGAAGAAGCTATTTAAGCCAGTAAGTCAACAAAGACGTCCATTTAAAATGAGAATGTACTATTTAAATAATTTTTGAATGGTTGGAAAAAAAAACAAAAACCAAACAGCCAACAAACACAAAACATCGCAGATCATTAAAGTAACCTGGTCTGATCTCCTGTGTACCACAGTCTGCAGTCCATAGCCTGTGACCAATACTTCACAAACACAACCAAACATCTTGTGGTTGAGTGATGACATAGTTGATATTGTACGGAATTCACCAGTAACCTTAAAAATTGCATTCCTATTATAAGTCTTGATTCAGGCTGATATATTTGAAGGATTCTTAGGAAATGGGGTACCTGACTGCATTTCAGTGGCAAATTGGAAACATGACTCCTTTGCAAAAATCAGTGGTGTTAATAATGTATCTGTTGCATGTTTTGGTTAACTGCCCTTTCATTTAAAGGAGAGAATGAGACAGTGAGGTGAAACCTCATTGATAGTGCTACATTATCTGCCCTTCATTAAAATGAACGGTAGCTACATGAATGGAAGATATTTTGAATAGGCTGCCACACAGGTGCAGAGCAGGGAATACTCACCATACAACTTCATGTCTGTAATTGGTGCCACCACAGCTCCACATTTGAAGAGTCGTTCATTGGATTTCAGGATCATTGATGTAATGTAGCCACCGTATCCCTAACAATGAAAATTATATTGAGATTTTTGTTTACTCATTTCTTTTTAGCAACAATGAAGTTAAAGGCCATTGTTCTAATCTGATGGCATCATTTTACAATTTACCTCTGCAAGAATTGCTTTTAAAGGAAATGCAAACCTACAGTTAAGAGTGAATAAAGATCTCAGTTGGCCTAGTCATGATCTTTAAACCATACAATTAACGAGTATATTTCACTTTAGCCTATGTAATTCCATCATGGCAGACTAGGCGATAGTCAGTAAAAGATTTGAAAATTACAGCAAACAAAAAAAACAAAAAGGAACACGGCCTAGATAGGAAGACTAGTACTCAAATGTTAATATATTTAATGTAGATATTTGCTAATTACCAGGATACACTGAGCATTTTGCTGACAGGACACAGAGTATGACAGCTGGGGAAATGCGTGAACTAACTGTACCCTGACACTTGAACCTTCACAGATTGAATCCTTTTGCTATTAAAGAGGTTTCTGCTACAGCACTGTCAAACATCCCACAGAGACGTACATATCCTGCATTCTTCTGCAGAAATAAAAGGTGAATGTAGCCACACCGCTTGATATTATGCTTATTTTTTGATGCACATTCTGGCCACAAGAGCACACATCAGGCAGCTGTGTTAAAAAGCAAGGAGCACAGATGGCAAGAAGAAGCTGGGACAGATGGGGCAGAAGCTGGGGAGCTCTCTCCTTGTCTCACCACATTTGTCTGTCCTTATGGCCCATCTCCTCCTCATCTCCTCTGCAATGTCTGTAATACACATCTCTGGGGGGAGATGTGACACAAAAGAGTGACACAAAAGTTTGCTTTGCATGAAAACATGAAACCTTTAACTTGAGACCACAGATTTCTTTGGAATGACACTGGCAATCCATATCTGTACACCTGCAATCGTTCTAGACCCACAGAAAATGAAATTCTGAATTGTGGAGTCTGGGATAATTGATTTTCTCATATATGGGCTCTTCAAATTTCTCTGTTTGCCATCTTTGTTTTCCTTTCATCAGTGTTGGAAAATTGATTTTGCAGGTATGTTGTTGTTGTTGTTTTGCGTTTGGCACAACACACTTCAGGAAGAAGAAAATATCCCATGACAGGGCAAAGAAAAATGTAAAACATCAGCTAACCCAAAATAAGAATATTGTGCGCCAAATGCTCACGGAGTTTTCTCATGGACTTTTTTGAATCCTGCCTGCTCCTGTTCTTCATGTCTAAATATTTAATGAATAGATTATTTCTGTGGAAGAATGGGAATATTTGAAAATCTTCTACGTTTTCAAGAAAAAATGTTCTTTGGAATCAACCTATACTAAATGTGAATGGACACACTAAAGGAAATACAGAGTAAGAGTGGAGAGGGTGAGGAACTGAGTTTCCCATAGAAATTCCAGCCCAAATTGTCCATGCACAGGAGCAGATTTTGCCTGAGAAAGAATTTCTGAGTGGACACAGGCAACCTGTATAATTCAAAGAGTTTAAGAGAATAGCAACTTTCTTCTGCCTTTGGCTTCTCTGCTTTTGCTTTTGTTTAATATTCTGTTTGTGTTTTTCCCAGTAGCTCCACAGCACAATTTTAATCCTAGGATAGCTCTTGCCAGGTTATTTATTATTTATGCCATGTATTCATTAAGAGCTTGGTTTAGTCCTCCTGGGAATTTCTTTGCTTTGTGCTTCTGCCCTTGCTTCCAGCCTGGCTTTCCAGGACAAAAACATTACACAGTGAGATTGCATTTTTAGAAGTGCTTCACGATGACAATGCAGAAAATAGTCCATATGTCCTGATGCAAGGATATATGTATGGTTCCTCACTCATTGGTTCAGTTTCTGTCCTTACAGCCCTATTGCGCTATTATCAAGCAGCTGATTGGCTGTGAAGTTGCAACTTATTTTCAAGCTCTCTTTCTACTTTTGCCAAAAAAACCAAAAAAGCAAACTACACAAAAATGCAATTTGCTGTGTCACAGCCCAGAAAGGCCCTTGGATCACGCAATGATCATGCAAGGCTTGCACCCCTTGCAGAGAGAAGTACGATGGCATTGGCAGATTGCCTGGCAGTCAGAAATAGGTATTTTCCACACTGTGCCCTTCTGGACAGTCTTGTTACTCTTGTGCCTACTTTAAATACCTGATTGCAACAATAATTTTATTCCTGCATATTTCTAAAACCTCTTAAAGAGCTCCCTGATAGGGTGCATGAGTCCAGCTTTATGGATCAGCATTAAGCAATTCCAAAGTCACCATACTTGCAAGCAAAGTGCACATTCTATATCCCTCAGTAAGCCAAATTCAACACACATAAAGAAAAACAATAACTCCGATCACATTGTTGTACATAGTAAAAAGGAAATGAGTTTTAAAGAAGATTTTTAATTGACTCTAAAATAAGCAGAGTAGAGTGAAATACAATTAACCCTAGGAAGCTGTTAAATAGAATATTTTTCCTAATTATAAAACTGACTTTTAAATTTTATTACTTTTTATTTGACAGTGTAAAACAACTCTGAGAGGTGCACTTGGAAAGGGTAAGTTTCCCTGAATTCAAAGCAGTGTTGAAGCTTATTGAATTTCCCAGTTCTTGCTCTCTGCTTTCTCACGTTTCCACTTTTCATTCCTCAATCTACTTTTCAGAAAATAAATGCAGGAACACCACCATCAATCATATTTTGTGAAAGAAAAAAAATTTTGAGGGTAGCTTTTGGCAGATATGTAAAGCCACATCTACATGTATGCTCTATGGTAACTGTCTCATCATGTCACTGTTGGGACACAAGATACTGCTGTATCTCCTACAGAAAACAAGTGGAAATTTTCAAGAAGCAATGAAAAGGATTTCTCCAGTCAGAAACAAGTGAGTAATTTGGGATGCTTAGTGATGTAATTTCAGAAGTAACAATTTCAATCATTTGTGGAAAGAAAATATGGAGAATTGTAGATGCTTATATGCATGTGTACTTCCATATACACTGGTAACAGGCACTAAAACCTGAATATAAATGTGTGCCATGATCATGTGGTGAGTGGAATGAGCGCTAATTATACATCCTCAGCTGAAAAATTCTCTGGCTGCTGTCCTACAAACCAAATATTGTTTCAATGGTACTGGCACTCTTGCAGTGATAGCTTCTTTAGCTCAAGGAGTGTGGCAGGAGCTCAAACCTTTGAGGAAGGTCACTTTCATGTAGAATGCTGATAACAGTACTTCATTTTCAGTACACTTCACAAACACTAATATGTCCACAAAATTCTACCAAGCAGGAAGCAAGTATCAACATCCCCATCTTGTATTCAGACAGAATGAGACACGCAGGTCAAATGCACTGCCCGAGGGCAACAGCAGAGTGGGGATAGGAACCAAGGGGTGTCATGGTGGAATGCATGGTGCTATTAAAACTGATGACTGGGGGGTTTGACCATGGTTTGTTGTTGCTTTGAGGTCAAAGGCACAAAACATCTTCATTTTTAAGAAAACACTTTAAAAAAAAAAAGCGGTTGCACATGCTAGTTCATAGAAGTAGCAATTATGTAGTGTTTCTAATTGCAGTTTCTTAATAGACATCAGTAAAATACTATTGAGTTTGTTACTAAAGGTCAAGCCATTGCCTTGTTCTATCTCGCGCCAGAGGCAACGACACATCACACAGCGCAGCCAGCTGACAAAATAGCAATGGCAAGAGTTCTAGCAGATGGTGCAAAAAGGAAGTTGTAGACAGTGCCATAGGGTTGTAACTCAGCTAACTTCAAGGGTCAGTGAGACATTCAGACATAAAACTTGTTTTAGGAGGCCACTGCCAATTTAACTGCAGCTCAAATGTAAAGTGTAAGAAACAAGCTTTAACAAAACCTAAGCCCATACTAAAGATTTCTAAGGAAAGAGGATGTTTTCTAACAAATACCTCCTCCTGCAGATTCTGAAATACAAATACTTCAGTAACATAAAACTGACCTGATGGATCTCAAACACTCATTCAGAGAAAATAATTAATATACAGAACATACAGTAAATGATGGAAAGTCTTTTCCTCTCTTAATAACTGAAATTGTCTTAGGAAAATAGATAAACATTTTTGTTTTATGAACTGATAGAATTTTCTGAAAGAATCATGATGACACATTCTGCTATTTTGCACAGTACCTTTCCAAATATACTCAGCCTCTTAGGATCAATGAAGGGTTGTTTCACTAGTGATCTGCAAGAAAGAAAGGGTTTTTTTAAAATTTTGTACAGTAAAATGGTTAATTTTACTATTTGAATCTACTGTGCAAATAATGCACACATGCACATCATGTGGAAGAACAAATTACACCAATAAAACTATTATAGCACTGGGAAATGTGATTTGCTTTTTAATTCCTTCTCTACATGACAAACAGTTGGTGTTGGGCTCACCTAACTTTAGATATCTGATTTTGAGCATCTTCTTTAAATTGCCCATTTACACCTGCCCTTCAGTTAAGGGTGAGAAGAGAGACACCCCTAAACAGCCGTTCTTTCCCACCCATGTTGGGAACCTCTCTCAGGCTGGGGAGAATCAGCCTCCAGAAGTGCCAGAGCTTAAATGACTCCCTTTGACCAGGTGCCTAGTTTTTCGACAGCTAAAGGAAGATAAGACGAATGCAACGTCTTGAAACTAGATAATTATCCAAATAATTAATTCTCTCATCAAGTTCATTAATTAGCAATGGTGAATTTATACAGAAAAGGCAGAATAACCAGAGGGTAATATCCAACTGCTTTTGAGGAGACAAAACCAGTCACAGTACCTCCTCTCAGCCAAGGACATCCTCCTTTTTTCTCACACAGTGCATCCAAAAAAAGGCCAGATGTCACTTAGCCTAAAACATCTTAGCCTTTGAGCACAGGGCTCACTTCTCGCAGCAGTCTATGGCCTGCTTCTGATGGCCGTTTCGCAAGAGTCATCTTGAATTGGTGACTCAAGGCAGCTCCTGACTGACATGAACACTAGAAGCCCTATTGTTAAAGCATATAATGTCAGAGGCAGTTGCTTACTCACACCATGGCTGAAGCATCAACCCCTTTCAAATGAAGGCAGACACCTAAAATCTGCTTAAAATCTGCCTTTCCTTGAGAATCTCTAGAAAATGTCCATCCAGATACAAGCCATTTTGATGTGTATACTCTGAGTAAAGTGTGTTGTCAAAGCCACATGTGATTACTTCACAGATGGAAATGACTCTTTTCTGCTGGCAGATTTATAAATAACAGGCATTTGCCCAAATTTTGCTCTCATTTACGCTGTTATAAATCCATTTGCTTTGTATGATTAATCCAGAACTCTGTCATGGAAATGAGAGCAGTATCCTATCGTACAGGCCAAAAATACTGTAACACAAATGCAGTTAAACATTAACATGTTCACTTCAAGAAATTGTCCTACAGAATGTAGAAAAATACGAATTAGCTCAGATGGCATATTTAGATTGCACACAGAAGGACAGCTGTATCAAAGAGAAGCACCAACACACAAAGCAAACCCCTCTATGACCTTTAATTTGCTGTTTGTAATCAAAAGCTTACAGTTTCAAAATTTGCAACCGCGTTAAGAATAAACATTAACGGCATTCACTATGCAAAGAAAACACCGGGCAGTTTCAGTTAAAAATGCTCATTCACCAAGGTGGAGACAGGGTAAAAGAGAAGAAAAGTTTGCACATACGTACTCTACGGCTGCTATTTGGTCCTTCACTTCCACTGATCCTAAGCATCGGTGGACCTCCTGTAGAATCTTAAGGCCTTGAAATCCACTCCCTCTGCCATCAAATCGAGCTACGATGACATTATCAGAGTTGACAAGCACTGAGTCCCAGTCAATGTGAAACTTATCTGTAACCAACTGGCTGCCTGGAGCTTCATCACTGCAAATACCAACACACCAGACACAAACGAAGACTATTGACAATGTGATGCACTTTGCCGTTCTCCGATATTTTATTTAACCTAGATGGCAGAGTTCAGTCGGTTATGCAATCCTGTTGAATTATTGTCACTTCCATCGATACCATCCCATTAGCTACTGCTGGTATCCCTGCAGCAGTAGTAAACAAAATAATTTCTTTAACTTTATAACCACTACAGTGCAGTGTTGCCAATACTTGAATATACTTTATAGAAAGAAAACAAAAGCATGTAGTGCTCCTTATAGGTTAATAAAGTGAACAAAAAAATAACATAATCACCAACAGCTAGCTCAGTTCTGAAAAGGCTCATGTAGAATTTGTTAAGTCACACTAAACAGACAAAAAGGAAAACTCATTTAGTACCCTGATTACGATTTTGTAGGATGTATAATACTATTAAGAAGGATGTCATCTTAGAAAACAAAAATAACTGCATTACTGTATCCTTGAATGGATTTTTGGAAATACGGTACAAAGAACACTAAAGTACACATTGGAGAAAATTGTATTTTCTCCATCCAAATTCATAGCAAGAAATGGATGCAGGCAGGAGTGATAAGTTTATTTTATGACTAAAAAAAAAGGCGGGTTACAGCAGAAAAGGTGGAATAGAATGAGAGACTGCACTTTCTAGAGGAACAATAAGCATTTTCTATTGAAGCCAAATTTACTATTTTCCTTCCAAAGAAAATAAAATGTCAGCTTTAAAAGGGAAGCTTGTCATTATCTTTCCCTTAAGATAAATACAGAATAAGAGAGCAGGCTACCATGAAGTTGTACAAAATGCAAAATATTTCTGTGCAGGCTGCATCTGCCAGTTGAATGCAAATTAAAAGTGTCTGTGCTGGCTGTATGGAAATTAGATTGGGAATATCCTGTCTAAAGTGAAAGAAAGATGAAGACAGAAATTATTTTGCCAAAGAGAGTTATATAAACCTGGGAGGAGGAAGCAGAGACAAAAATCTCCTACAACTACTGTCTTACATGTATAATAAGGTGCTGATTCAGTATCTGGTTTTGGCTGTGGGTAACGTAGACCATCTTCAAGGTAATCCTTCTATTTATTGTCAAGCATATGACAAATACGTATGTTCTCAAATTCAGCCAGACCTACCCATGTAGTTGCTAAGCCATGCACTCAAATCAGGGTTACTTGGTTATAGACTCAGTGAAAATTTTATGCTTGATTCACCATTATCTTGTGCATCAAGTTTATACTTGGCTTTGTAAAAAGAAAGGAAGGGCATTTCATTTTTTTTTGTTTGCTTAACAAATTCAGCTGTGGTTACGCTAACTGCTAACAACACAGAGGAATGAATTTGGAAATACTGAATGTCAAGTGAGCTCTGCAGAAAACCCATGTTCCAGAAGTATATTATCATTATTATTTACAGAAAGACCAGGAGCACAACAATTATTTCAATTTATGCTTATTGTACAGAACAAGGTTTTCAAAAGCGCTCTACATTGACAAAGATGTTTTCACAGAGCTTTTACCACTACTTCCAACAGTAGCAACCTCAGATCAGTTATCCTTTTTTTTTTAAGTTCTTCCAACTTACCACAGTAAGATATCAGAAATATCAGCAGTTTAATGCACCTCCACACAAGTGAAAATACGATGAGTCAACTCGCTTCCCTCCCACTTAATATAAGAAAAAAACAAATACAGTGCTAGCATTTATATTATACATGTTATATACCTAGGTTATATATGCATGTGTGTGAGTATATGTACATATATGTTATATATCTAGATACTTGGGAATAGGAAAAGAACCATCCATTTGTAAGCCTCTCTCTATACCAGAAAATACTAAAAATAAAAAAGTATTTTCAATGAGAGATGATACCCTCAGATAAGTTTTCTATTAAGAAAGGGACAATATAAAGAACCTCAGCCGGATTCTCAGTGGGCAAGAACTGTCCAATGTTTTCCCAAGCTCCTTCTCTGGAGGACACAGCTGGGCTACCTTTAGGCTCAGATGTTAAACACTATACATCTTCCACTCCTGCATGATGGGCTCTTTGATGTATTGCTTTTGGAAGCAATTTTCCACTGGCTAATTTATTTCAGGAATGTCCATATAAGTAGACTGTGACAGGCATTTAAAGCCATTTCCATTGAGGAACATGTCAAAATTCCCATTAGTATCAAAAGGTCTCTTTACTCTTCAGCTGCTGCTATAAAATGATACTGATTATCTAAGGTGTGCTTCTGTCCTCCACAGAGAGCATATATATTCTACGCACCATTTAGGCCCCACATTTAACCTTTTAAATTGGGCTTCTGCAAGGTATTAATCCCTTATGCAAGTCTGAACATCACCCTGAGGGCCCTGTAACAAAGCAAGTTTGTCACTACAGTGCAATAATAGAAGCACAGCCTGATTTGTGAAGTTTGCCCTGGGATTACAGTAATCTCAAAGGTCAGTTTTTGTTTTATGCTCATTACTACTTACAGCCTAATTATAATTAACTACTGTTCAGTGGTACTCTCTTCATAGAATTATTTCTTGACCCTACTAGTAGGTCTGGGAGAAAATCTGTGCCATTTATTCTTGGGTGTAATACAAACACCAAAGTCGTCTTCCCACCTGACTAGGGATGGCTCTAACGGAACCATGGATTAGCTAAGGCACTACAGAAAAATTGAAGTCAGCACCAAAAGGGCTATGTAAAGCTACAGGCTCTTCGACATCCTTCAAGGGTTCCTTAAGAAGCATCATCTCCAAACAGGAGCAGACTGATTCAAATGAAGAATATGCCTAAATCTTCTGGAGCACGAGTCTTATGAGGAGCAGCTGAGGGAACCAGGATTGTTTAATCTGGAGAAGAGGAGGCTGAGGGGAGACCTTATCACTCTCTACAACTACCTGAAAGGAGGGTGTAGTGACGCGAGTGTTGGTCTCTTCTCCCAAGTAACTGGTCATAGGACAAGAGGAAATGGCCTCAAGTTGCACCAGGAGAGGGTTAGATTGAATATTAAGAAAAATTTCTTTACTGAAAGAGTGGTCAAGCATTGGAACAGGCTGTTCAGGGAACTGGTGGAGTCACCATGTCTGGAGGTGTTCAAAAAAATGTGCAGATGTGGCATTTCGGGACATGGTCTAGTGGGCACCAAAGTGTTGGGTTGATGGTTGGACTTGATCTTAGAGTTTTTTCCCAACCTTAATGATTCTATGATTCCTCCTGATTCATGTTTTTTCCTTGTGAGTGACAGCAAATGCACTTTCCCTTTTTCATATTTGCTCCTGACTTTCAAGGTTCAGAGCTGCCTAGTGTATGTCTTCGACAGCGACTGCACTCAGATTATGAGTCCATTGTGGCAGCACAATTGCTGGTGACTCGGGCATAGTGCCGAAGTTCACCATTGTGGTACAGTTTCAATAGACAGAAGCCATCCATAATATACCAATATCATTGACCTTAGTGGGTTATTTGTATGCTTCGTGCAAGGCAGCCACATACATCTCGGACTGTCTGGAAAAAAGGGACAGCTCATTGTAAGTTCATATATTGCTGAAAAGAGAAGAATTTGTTCTTTCAGATTCTATAATCAAAAGCTTAAACTAAAGTCTCTGTTCATAACTTGAGTCACGGCCTAGAGGGAATAATACAGTCTTACCAGAGAGGCCGTTGCTGCTGCGCTCTGAGCAATACGGCTCTGCTGCTCTGCTATCGCGACTGCAGCAAAATTTGTTCCTGGTTTTGCACCATTTAAAAACTAAGTTGCAAGATTTTAAATAGGAATGTCAGTAGTTACAGGGCTGGCCAAGCAGGGGTGAAACAATCTTAAAGGACAGATGGCAAATAACTGCTATCATCGTTGCTTAATTCCCAGTACATATCATTCTCCAATACAGTGGATTTGATGCAACATATGGAAAAGGTATCTTGATAGCAAATATGTGAGAAAGACTGCAACTCAAAGGATAAAATCTATGCAAAGAAATATCACTGATAAAAGTAATATTTTGCTTATGGTGAAACTAGTGGGGAAAACCAATCATTTTGCATAACTGGTGTAATAGAAAAATTAACTTAATTTTCATATTTCATAAGCATCTCTTTCACAAGCATCAGCTTTCAAGCACGTCCATCATTACTGGTCAGAAATCAAGGAACTTGAATAGCCTCAAACACTGAGGACAGAAAACCCCAAGTATTTCCACTCTGTTCTTATACCTTGTTAAGGCATAGCAGACTGCAATTAAAAACAATGTCTTTGCAACTCCTCCATGCAGATGCGGCCAAACAAATTAAAATAAATCACCAGAAGTGATTCCATTTCTAGGGCAGAATTAGGTGACAGATGAGACTGAAGTAGACAGCATAGTACAAAACCTAAAATTGTCATTCTTAAAATATCTTTCTGAAACCCTTGAGGCTGAAGACTTTGAAAATTAAATTTTGAGAACAAGAGATGCAACACTGTCCCACGTCATCAGAAAAGGAGGTGTTTAGAAACTCTTATCTTTTGCTTGGGAAGATTAAATGAGTATTTTATTCACAAAGTCAACTAGTGAATCATTCACATGATTAGGGATCCTAAAAAAAGTAAACTTCGCAGCTGTTTGACAGAGGAAGAACTGGCCAAATAAAAAGGCCTTCAGGGGCGTCCTCCTTGCAAGCATACTGAAAAGCAGTGGAATCTACCAGGTATTTTTACAATTTACCATGTAGCCAAGCAGTGATCCTTCACTTGCAACAGCTGCCAGTTAAAACAAATTAATATCCTTTACGACAAATCAAAAGTACACAAGACAGCTATTAATACACAAAACATTACTCTCTCTCAGATATTGAATATTTCCCATTACTTGCATTATGCCTGTCTACATTTCTGCTAGTCTTTTAATGAGTTATTCCGGTAGCTGTAAAAAAACCTTCTCTTCCAACCCTACTGTCTTATCTTGCTATCAGTCCTGAGAGTGTATTAACTTGAGGCATAAACAGGTTTGATTACCTGTGCAAGGCCTATATCCTTCATAATTTCAATAACAGGTGAAGTGATTCCTGCTTATTACCAAAATATAAGAAAACAAGCAAGCAAAGAAACAAACAGAAACCTCTTGAAGACGTTTCACTGTTACTTTGGAGAACACCTGTTGTTTTTTTTCCCCTCAAAGATGAGAACAATCTCTCCACTGATTCAGATTTACAATATCCACTTACATACTGGAAAATTTTAAACGCTGTTAAATAATAAATGCTGACATTTAAGATACATTACCTACAGATTTTGAAGGAATGAGGTTAATTATGTTCAAGAAAAAATAGAGAATGATTATCACCTCTCATTTTATTACTTAGATTAAATGCCAGAGTCTTTACTTAATAATTTCCTGTGTGTTACCAAGGAGTGTATCTTCCAACAATTTTAATGAGTAAGGTGAACCATAATGAGAAAATCAAGGATCTGAAATTTAAACTTTGATCTTAATTATATAGAAAAGAGATGATAATCACTCTTTCAGGCAATTACTGTACACCTCTAATCTATAGCTACACTGTATGTATTATATCAGAAGGAAACTAAGTGTGAGATGTATTAGTGGTTCAGAAATAAAAATGGAGGAAAGCAGTCTGTTATAATCTCTTTAGTATTTTATAGCCTATGCCTCACAATTCTGGAAAGAAAAATAGCGCTAGCCAACATAACTGGTTTCTACATGAAACCTATCTGTTAGATAGTCCTGCCATACACATGGACATCAATTTTTAACATAGCAATACAATGATCTTCTATTTGAATGTTACAGCATGCTTTGTGCAACTGTTAATAGATGAATCTTCACAAAATCCTTATAAAGGCCTGGTCCTTAAGTTGAGCTTGTGTCTACATGGAACTGTACCGAGTTCACACCCAGGTTTCACACCAGGACCAGAATCCACTGGTCTAGGCTCCCTTCCAGCACTCAGCCTTAACATTCAGACCCCTGGGTGCCATGTGCTGGAGTTCAAATTCATCTGCAGGCACCCTTGCATGCATACAGGAACCTTATTATAGTCATGCACTTTTGAAATGGATACCAGCTTTCAGTGATTTAACAAAAATTACCAAATAATACCAAACTTTCTCCCCTTTATCTGCTTCCAAATTCTGTTATCGTAATCATAACCCTATTGATCGCTGGATTTCTCTGGAGCATGTTAACACCACACAGAAGCAGTCACTGCTGACAAAATTTACAGTAAAATTATGAACCTCAGCCATCAAACAACTCATTTTATTCTGAGCCAGCAAAACCAGTCACCAGGACAAAAAAATCTGTAGACAGAGATGAGACCACACAGGCAAACCTGATCCTGGCAAAATGTAAGACCCAGAGAAGATGAGTCTTCGTCAGAGGCTTGGAGTGGCTCTGAAGCAATCACTGCAGCCAAACAGCCAGTCAGAGCCTGTGAGCTCTTATATGTCGTATTTACCCTACAGCTTAGGGGACAAAGCCTATATGCATTAGAAGCTTATGTGCACTTAAAGAAGCATTTAATTTGCACTGCAGAGACACATTAGGTGAATTTCAGATTTAAACTCACATTCTCTTTTCCTCATATACGTTTCTTCCTTTCCTCTCTTTTTCTCAAGTCTTTGTCAAATTGCAGTGCTACTGAGATGGAAAGCAAAAGCCACTTCTAATCTGCTAATACTTCACTTTTCCAAATATGTATCTTCTCTTCATGTACATTTAAGTGTAAGTTGCATGGATCATGATGTTATATAAAATCTTCTTTCCAAAAAATGAATATACAATCAAACCAACATTCTTACCAAGGACATTGGTAAATACTCTTTTTGAAACTTTCAATAGCTTGAATATAATGTTAATTATATCATAACTGAGAATAAAAGCAAGAAAAGAGGTGCAGCTGAAAAATATGAAAGACAGCATTTATTATCAGTCGCTAATAAAATTCCTGTCTAATGCTTCTAGCAGTATGAACAGTGTGTTTCTCAATCAGACTCAACAGTACCACTCTGGGACTCAGGAAAGTAAAATATCGGGGAAATGATACCATATATACAACTAACCAGTGCTTCCTGTAAAAGCCACATGTTCTCCTCAGACCTGAATACATTTTTTTTTGAAAGCAGTACTTCTGATAATGAAATAAACCTTAAGAGGTCAATCTGGAGTTTTGTGGGACAACAAATTACCCTTCACATGCACACAGATTTCCAGTCGTTCTTTCTCAAGAGCTAGGCAGAACTTACTAGGCTCAAATAATCATCCCACAAGGAAACGTCCCATAACTGCAATGAGAGCTTTCAGTTTTATATCTCATTTGAGGACATCTTTAACTCAGAAAAGGATTGCTGGCAAACTTAAGTTTAAAGTCTGTAAAAAGGTGCTGAAGAAATGTAACTTCCTTCCCTTCTAGGTAAGAGGAGGATACAACACACACAACATTACATGAGCCAGGACAGATTTCAAATTTTCAGTTTCATACTTTCATTAGTGCAAAAGTTTTCTAAACATAACTCCTGTTAAAGCTAATGTTGACAATTCAGTATTGCAAAGGTAAGGCAATGACTAAAAAGAAGCCCAGTTTCCATATTATAAATACAGATACCACAATTTTTATTCATAAGTGGATGAATTTCCTTTTTATCCCACATGCACATAACAAAAAAATTGTAAAACATATCTACATATTATGACTTGGCCACATTATTCACTCACTGGGTACTGACAACTTTGGTAAGATTAAATTGAGACCCTGCCTCGGTACTGTTCTCAATTATTTCAAATCTTGACATCTAAAAACATTTCATAATAGTATTTCCTTATAAGTTTTCCTTTTGCTGTCATTGTTTGATTTGGCTTTCTCAAGGCTTCTGATCCTTCCTTCCTCTTTCTTTGGGTTCTACATGAGTATATAACCTCATATTCTATCATATTCTACCATAACCATACATGGCAGATTACGTATTTACTAGAATACTTAAAAAAGAAAGTGTTGCACTGCTAACACCTTAGTGTTACTCTCAGAAAAAAGCGCAAGTGTTTGCAACTGCTTCTAGTGCTGTTGGAGCCAATTCACAGAGTGGGTTTGCCTTTGAGTTTGCCACTTAAAATGCTCAAAATATAATCATACTTCAGGATGATGATAGCAAATACTGCAAAAATAAAATAATCCATGTGTCCTTTTTCTCTACAAGAAAAGAAAAATGTGATCATGAGCCACTTAAGCAGAGAGCCTCCACAACTGCAGATAAATACAACTGAAAAACTCAAGTTTCAACCACAAACTGGACTTAGAAATAAGCAGGTTTATGCCTCTCTGTCCAATTAACTAAGATCTTACCTAAGCAGAGGAACTGGGGATCACTCAGCAGCTCAAGTTTGTAAATCTGACCTCACATACAACAATAAGGATCTCTGCTGTCACTAAGGGGAGGTCTACTCCAGGTGATACAGCTCAGCTAACTAGGCATTTTCATGAAATTAGCAGTGTGCTCCCACACCTGTGTTAGTGAAATTCACATCAATTCCTTCCAAATGGGACTGGTAGAAGATCTGTAGTACAGGAAAGCCCTCTACAGCCATGGCAGACCAATGCTGAGCTCAGATGGAGAGCAATGAATGATGCCCTGAGCTGGCCATCATTGGTTTTCCTAAGTAGGCTGCAGGTGCACTCACAACTGCTTTCCTCCTCTGCTATACATTCTGTAGACATGCAACTCAAAGGCTGACAGCCTCTGAAAGAAATACACACACTATTTCTTTTTAAAAGAGCAGTGCAGGTTGCCAGAGAGTACCTCCTTCTTCCCATAAAGGTTTCCTATGAACAGCAACAGCCTTTGGATGGCACCTATAATGCCTTCAGCCATTGATGCTTGAAAATATTTTCTTCTTCTTTCCAATGTTTCTAAAAACAGTTTTGCTTTATGCATCTTAACTGAGCCCCTCTTTAGAAGCTCTACTCATTTCTATCAGGGATAAAAAGAAAAGAAAGAAAAACAGAGCACATTCTCTGAATTAGATCCTCTGTGGATAGGGATCTGTATAGGTCCAGGAAAAACTGCAGAGCTTCTCACAGCTACACCATGGGCTGGTGCCTCATGTACATAAAAGTACAATGAAACATAGCTAGGTTTGACAAGCTCAAAGAACCCCAGGCATCTCTGCCAGACAGCATCCATAACAAAATCTTCCCAAGAACAAGCCTTTTGATTTATCAACTCAAATCCATGAGGTAATTTTCCTACACAAGCTAAAAAACCATTTTCCTACTACAGAGTTACATGTTTTCTATGAAGGACTTTTTTATTACTTTGAGTGATTCTACACAGATACTTACATTATTAACAGAAGGGCATACTGGTTTCGGTCCGTGAAATCTTTTGGCAGTGACAACTGTAAAGGGAGTTCTTTTAAGAAAAGAGCAAAACATTAAAGGCTGGTAGTTACACAGATGAAAAACAGTAACACTGTAAGAAAGCTTTTGGTTTGTTAAAATAACATTTTACCAAATTTACCGTAATCCTCAATGTGAAGTATTTTAATTTCAGTCTTGGAATTCTTTTTCTTAAATACAGCTTCTTTCAACACAGCATTATTTTCCAAAATATAAAACTCTGTAGAAAACAGGAAGGAAAAGCAAGTTGAAAGGTATGATGAATCATCACATCTTAACTAAATCAAGATTCAAAAAAGCTAAAGAAAAAGAGACAAATGTACACTGATAAATCTTCTAAATGAACCCCTTCTGTAAATACCTTTTTATAATGCAACTCTTTGCAAATCAGGAACTGAGCAATCAGCTTAACTCAAAACATACATCTATTCCATTTTCTGGCTTCAGTAGGCTTTGTTTTCATTAAGCACTAACAATGAAATTGCTGATGAACAACAGGAGTACTACTAGTACCCCTGACAAGTACTAACAGCAGCTGCTACAGGGAAAGGCGAGTCTGCTGGGCGAGATCCTAAGCCTCAGAGAGGCACTCTCATCAACCTGCATATTCCAAATCAATATTTATCCAGTACAGCTCTTCTGGGTCACTGCACATCCTTCTGCACTTCAACCAAGAGCAAGACTCCAGTTTGGTTTAAAGCTGCAGACAGATTTGAAGCGAACTTTTTGCACATGAAAGCATGATTTAATTAATTTTTCTTTATTTATTTTTTACTGAAATTACCAATCTTGCTTTTAAAATGTAGATTTTTTTTTTTGAAAATAAACAATAAGCACTCAATTTAGGGCCAAAACGGATAATCTAAGGAGAATGTTTGTTCTGGGCAGTGAACCAAAATTGTATAATTGTAGTCTGAGGATGAAATAATTGAAGTAATCCTTAATCATTCTTTTCTGAATTGAAGACGATAATCTAATCTTGCACTGAAACATTAATGGTAAATTATGTCTCTTATTATTTGGTTTCTTGTTGTTACAACAATGTCCCTCTATCCTGACTGACTTTGCTGCAAAATGCTGCATGTAAATCTCTTTTACATGAATTCATTATCAACAGTACTTTAGATATAAGTAATAAAGAGCAAAAGACTACCTTCACAGAATTTAGTAGCTCTACGGAAGAAAACGGATTTGCTTTGAGCAGTAGCTACCCCTTACTGAGTTGGATAAAACTCCCTCCCTTGGTGTGCTATGGCACTGAGCTTTGCAAATAATGACAGTGACATTGAAAGAAAATAATTCAAAGTGTAGACATTAATTAACACTTGACAGCATGACAATATTGATCAGTCAATGTCCAAGATTAAGTCCACCGAATAGTGGCTGGCCCATGACAAAGGCAATGCAGACAAGCACAGTTCAGAACTTCTGGATTCTGGAAAAAAAACTGGGATAATCTACTGAATGAAATTAGGATATGTAAGGATTGCTTTAGTGGTTTTGAATGAAAAGATGTCCCCTTTCCTCTAATCCACACCTTCATGCTATGTGGAGTCAGTGGAGTTGGAGGTAGCAGAGTTGTTACCTCTGCCCCATCAAAGAAATATCCGAGTGAGGAAAATTCTGCTGCTGCAGGACAGTCTGCCATTACCAAGCACCTCAAGCAGCCAGGCAACAGTAACGGACTTAGTGTCAATATACAGAAAGTAATGAGGAAAACTTGAAAATTAGGGTATTGAACACCCTCCTAAAAAGGCTTTATTCTTGGATTTGCCATCATTGAAAATATCAGTGGAGTTGCTCTGATTTGAGAAATGTAAGAGCAAGACTAAGTTCATTGTATGTAGGTCAGATTTTATGATCAGTTGTCCAAGGACTGTACCTTACTTCAAGATAATTGGATTGTAACTTGAAAACCATCTCCAAAAATACAGAAGGGTACTGTAATGGCAGCATAATTTACATTAAAAGTGAAATGGATGAAGACCAACCTGCTATCTAATTAACTCAAGTGTAAATAGAAAATGAGTGATATGCACTTAGCATAAAACATATCTGAAAAGCCTGGGAAAGTTTTAGTCAGTTGATTAACTTCTTTCCTTATTATTTGCAGATGTGGATGTTGCTAAAAGGTAATTAATAGAACTTTATATGAATGAGCCATCTATTAGCTTTCATTTACTTGTAACTGCCTTCCCCTCCCCCATGCTCCCCAGAATGATCAAGGACGAGGATAAAATATACCTATGCCATAAGGAATACTCACTTGCAGGATTACTTGTACTGTGCACACTAACAACTGGAATGCCTGGCCCTGTTTTGAGGAGAGAAGAAAAGCAGAGGAAGTGTAGGGTAGTTAGCATTTCAGTCAATAACAAAGCACGAGAACACCAGCGACTATGTAAAGCCAGATCCTGGAAGCCCATATACACACTTCCCTTCAAACACAGCAGTAACTCCACTTGGGGGATTGGACTAGATGATCTTTTGAGGTCCCTTCCAATCCCTAACGTTCTGTGATTCCACTGGTGTCAGGGACGGACACAGGTTAGACTATGGTACCAGCAGAGTGTGAAACAGAAACTACCTTCTGCCTGCTCAGCAAGCAGTCTAGACCTCAGGCACCTAGGAGCCTTTTTTTTAAATCTCCATGCTTTAACTGGAAATAATAAATGAAAAAATTACAGAGGCACTTAATGGCACTGTCTAAAATATAACAGTTTGACATTCAGAAACAGTAACATTAACAGTCACTGGGAAGTGAATTAATGATAATATTCACTTATGTTTTCTAAGGAAAAACTACAGAAATATTGAAAAATTATCACATATATCACTTAATTATCTGTTAAAGAAGCTCCTCTGGTACCTCAGCTCTGAAAGACCAAGAGCATCACGGCTGAATCTAAGAGTAACGTAATCTAATCTTATTTCATGGTGATGTCAGATACTATATTTTTACTGTACCACTGAGAAAATAAAAGCATCGAGAGTAATTCTCCACGTCAGTAAGTGCTGTGCAAATGCACAAGATGGCATGTGAAACTGGGGTGACGAAACATTCAGGACACTCAGAGGTACAGCTGAGATCACTGTCCCTGCTCTGAGGACTCCCACTACTGTAAACTTGCTAAAGAAAATGTTGTGTCCTCACCCTCAACATGGAACTTGTACATGGGAAACTTAGTTCTATCTCAGAGAGACAAGAGTTTGAATTACACGCAGGCAGTCACTGTTGAGCTAGGAAGGATGATTCAGAAAAGCTGAAGTCCCTAGAGACCCCACGGCAGACAAAGGCATGGACTCTCTGGAATTAGGAATTCAGATTCCTCTTTTTTTTTAAAGAAAAGATCCCCTTTGAGAGCAGTTCAGAGATAGAGCTTAATTTATGTGTTTTGAGTCATCCTGAGGAGGTTCTCTCTCTCAATTAATTATGGCATGAGCCTAGGAAAACTTAAAATACCTGAAATAAATAGCGTGATGCCATTCACAGCCTCTGAGAGTCTCCAATATAGATTTTTATCAGTTTCAGTCTCTGCCTCAAGGGAGACTGTTGACAAAAAAGTCTTACAGGTAGATTGCTGACAAATAAAAGCTTTCTGCCTTAGCTCCTCAAAAGATAATTTCTTCAGCTGTCTCTTTCTCCCCTTGCTTTGGTTTTCAAGCTCTTTTTACTTCTTCTGAATTTGTAATTTTGTTTTGAATTCCAATTTAAGAAAGAGAGTTTTTGGAGGTGAAAGTCCAGCCAGCTCTATTTGTACTAAAAGATCAAAGGATGATGACAAAATTTGAAAAAAGGAGACTAAAGTACATTAAAACACCAATCAAAAGAGAGAAAGACAGGCTGGTGGTACAGGCGTTGTGCTACAGCTCATCAGAACTAAGCACAGCACTTGGATTTCCCATTGACCTCCTATAACTGGCACTAAATCCACAACTTATTTCCCGCTGTATAAAATGGTAAAAACAATTCCTCCCTTTGTGAAGTATCTTATTTGAGTGGAGAGATTAACATCTGCTTGCGTTTATGAAGTGCTAAAGGAAAAATCCACAAAAGGTGTGGAAAATAAATGTAAAGGATGCGCTTGCCAAAACTGGGAGGCTGCAGAGCCAGTCCTCCTCTACCAGGCTAGAAATAACTGCTCACTCGGGAGAGTCTCTGGAGATGGATCCAGCCGGTATACTGAGATGGATCTCCTGGCTGAGGGTAACTAAGGAGGAAAAACTAACCTAATAAAGGTGCTAATGGGTAAACAAGAAGTGGAAGAACTGAAGCTTGTATAGATCAAACCAGTTCAAAGTCCCTCAAGGATTTTTCTGGGTAAATTGTTTTTGTAGTAATTCAGTCAGGCTTTTTGTTGTTGGAAAACGAGTGTGTACACACATAGGTGTTTCTGTCATCTGTCTCCTTGAGGCAGTTTACCTCATATGCTTACAAGCAACTCTCCTCAGAAGAGTTTTAATACCTGCTCTATGGTGGTGATGTTGATACTGTTAAATACCTGCCCCACCACAGGCATTTTGAAGAGCTGTGGCAGTACACTGCTGCTGTCAAGCTCTGGCAAAACACAAGAGAAGACCTCTGAATAACCCCAAGTTGACAGCTATACATTAATGCTAGAGGTAGGAAAACTTAATGTTGATGTTTTATCATCCCTGCCCAACACCTGCAGCTTAGTGCAGTCTACAGGTTGCAACTCAGTGGAGTGTAGGTTTAATCCTAGGAGGATGATCCACAGTCTTCTCACCTCAGAGAACTGCCGTATTTAAAGCCACTGAAAGTAATTTCACGTGCAACCTCCTACTGGCATCCACATTTTTATATCAAAGAAACATGTTAAAAACTGCAGATTAAATATACTTTGTTAAAATAACAGAGGAAGCTATGAGTATGGGCCCTAGCACATTGCTGATTCAGGGCAAAAAACTCTTTCTAATTTACCAATCCTCCCTCTTGCAGGAATCTGAGACTTTCCCCACAGGGACTATGTCAAGCACAAGGGAAAATTCTGCTTACATCATGAGGAGCTCATTACTAGTGCAGTCTTTAAGGGCCTCAGGATTAGCTCCGTAACTTTTGCTACAGCTTTAACCATTTATAAACCATGCAGTTCATATATTTATTTTTTTCTAATCAGCTATGTATTATAGGTGCACTTCCACAAAAAACCAAACCAATAAAAACAACCACAACCTTATTTTAGCCAATATATCTTCATAGTTTGTTTGAATAGATTCAATTCTCAAGCAGGCAGATATTTCACTTTTGTGCAAAAGAAACAGAAAAAAAATCCATGCAAATAGAATGGGCTATTCACATGTATTTCAGACGAATTGCGTTGTTGCTGTTTTCAATGTAATTTCAATGAACAAAAATACTGGGAGAATGTTGTCTGTAAAATACAGCAAGTTTCAAGGACAACAGGTCTAGCTATGCACTTTATTATTGATTGTCTCATGCTTTTCTGAACCTGTTCTTATAATCTTACTTATTTATCAGTGCTTATTTCCTGGGTGTAGGGTATAAATTTCTCAGTGTGAGATGGTTCTAGTTTTCTACTTATACATACTAGCTCTGACCCAACTGGTGGCATTCAGTGCTACTGGAATGCAGCTAATAACAAAAAGCTGTAAGTTATTTATTGCAAATGGATTGATAAAGAGGATCTGTCTTATGTGGCTTAAACCATACTTCATTTTTGGTAGATGTGGGTGAGTGTGTATATATATACTGTACACATACATAAAGACACAGTGTGACAGAAAGCAGGTCCTTCTTTTTTAACTAGGTATAGTTGCACAAGATCAATCTCAATACATAAAATAATGAAGCTGTTACAAACCACAGTACTGTCACTGTAAGTTCCACATTTTTTGGTGAAGGATTTTTATGCAAGGTAAATTTAAAAGTCAGTGTCCTTTACTAGAACGGAAGGGTTAGATTTGGAGCAGCTTTCTGATATCACTTATTTAGCTTTTGCACAGAACGTCTTTACTTACAGTCTTGCAATAAGCTCCATACAGAGCTCTGAGTAATCCACTACTGAGCTAAATGTTAGACTCCAGCCTAACGGACTTCTCAAGGGGATACATTAATTCAGAAGCAAATACAGTACTATTACATGCTGTGCATTTGACATACCTTTGCAGTGCAGTAAAAAATGCCTACTCATGGGGCTAAACTTTGCACTGAAGTATGTGCAGTGGTCTTTCAAGAAGTTGCATGAGAGACAATGACGATCCAGTGATCCCACTGTTGATACGCTGGGGAAAAAGTTGATCAGAGACATTTTCCATTGTAATAAGATACAATATACAAAGAATTAGCTCAGAGTGATAAAATTTGTTTCGGTCCTTAAACTTCCCAAAATATCACTGTTTGACGCAAACTGTTTTCAGATGACTCATTGGACTACTGCTCTGTAAACTGGGCAATGTAGACAGGATTAAAAACCTGCCCAAAGCAGGACTGGGGTTCCAATAACTAGCAATGCTGCGGGCTAACACTGTTAGTAGCACACCAGGAAAAGCCTCATTAACTTCAGATTTAAGTACTGAGGTTCATGTAAGGAGGAGGTGCCTTGCCCACACACTTTAAATTTCATTATTAGACCCCATAAATATTAGTTTTATTTAGAAGATTTTCACTACTTTTAAAAATACAGGCATATTATATGCTTGCATTTAGGTTTAGCTTTACAGATGCTTACAGAGGACTAGTGAAGACATAAGTGGTAAAAACATTTTGCTGAAAAATATTCAAAATATTTAAAATTAAAATATTTCCATTTTTTAAAGTGTAAAATATCATTGGCATTTTTAGTTTTGAAAAATTGATTCCTTACTTGTTACACAATATAAGTGATTACACAAGCCCCAAAGCAGCAATTTTGCTCACAGAATGTCATCACAGCACTTATGGCTTGGGATGAAGAAGCTGGTAACACAGCCCCATGTACTTCTTACCTATGTAGCTGTCTTCCTCTTGGGGATTCTTCAGTGCTTAAGAAATAACTGTGCCCAAAAGACGAACAAAGTTAAACTCAGTTTGGCAGACTGACTTGGGCGGTATTTAGAAAAGTGAGATATGTCATAAATTACTTTTTTAAAATTAAAAATTCCCAAATATACATGAAGATCAAATACTTATAAATAAATCTAAGCTCCAAGATTAAATTTAGACCCAGTATATGGAGTAGTTACTTCAGATGCTATATAATTTCATATTAAAACAATGGTGAACACAGGATTTCATGGTTTCTGTTTAATTCCTGTAATGCCCAGAAGCTCCAGTAGCAACCAGAAGAAAGTTTCTTCTTCACTACAAGAGTTTGAAATATAAATGCAAGGAGCACAAAAAGATCACAGTGAAATGACATCATAAAATACGATAGCCCTTATGATACCCAAAACCCTTTTTGAGCTGTAGAACGACTTTTTCTTCTATCTAGAGACAGAAGCTTGCACCCTAGGTGATGGTTTACAGACAAGGTTGGGTGCATGGAAAAAGGTTCAGTAGAGCTGCTGCAAGGATATCAAGGCAAGTCCTTGGTGTGTCCCGGATGAGATCCCCACAAAGGTTTTGCTTGAGAGGCAGAAGGAGGGTAAGGAAGTGCTCCCAGGTGGCTGAGACAACCCACATGCGGTCAGCCACCTCTGCAGGCTGAGTGCATCCGTACCTTACGTTTTCATCTGAACCTTGGAGAAGCATCAAGAAATTCTCTACAGATACATTTTCAAAACCCATGGAAAGACAGGCCAGAAAGGTGTTTCTCCAGTAACACTGGAGATTACAGACATTAATGCAGCCTCAAAAAGGTCCTTGCTGAAATACCATTTATTTTAAAGAATAGCAGAATTAGATACATCTCATTATTTTTTGCTGTGTGCAAATATACATGGAGAATAACCAAGACCCACTACAGTTATCTGCAGCCTTCAAATGTTTTGTGTCAACTCTTTACTGCTCCCAAAAATCACTAAGTATGTGCTGTATTTCCTTACCTCTACAGTGCTAAGATGGGCTTTGGAAAGATTTCTCTCTGAGTGATTCAGGTGAAAATCTTGGCATTGGATAATCACTGTATGAATTTATGAGGCTGAATCAGATGCCCACAGTTCAGAGCTCTCATGCAGTAACCAAGCAAGAAAACTAAAGATTTGAGGATTTTATCAAGTACTAAAAATTTACTCTGATTTCTTCTCTCGAATCAAGGAAAGGGCCACCAAAGTGTTATTACTGCTACATTGTGTGTTGATTTCTTTTACTTAAAAAATACAGTGAGTCAACAGATGTCATGGTACGCTTTTTTCACTCTGCATTATAGCGCACACAATAAAAGACTAGCAGATAAACTGTCTAACACTGCACTTTATGCATTTAGGAGTGTAAAATTTAAGGTAATGCTCAAAAATTAAAATAAATAAATAAATATTGTTACTTAATTTTAGATACACTATTTCCAGTTAAAAGGATTCAGATATCTCCAAAAACAGACAAAGAGAACAGTGCTTACATCTTTTGAGTGTTTTCATCATATGCCAGGATTTTGATAACTTCCCAGTTTCCTGATGTCAGGTGTCTCACACTGATTTGTTCACTTTTAGCCTGGAGAGAGATGGAAAACATTAACTTTCACCTTACTTGTTACACTTTCTTTGCCTAACAGGATTGTCTGCACACAGCATTACTAATTACAGCTTTTTAAACTTTAATGTGCAACGTAACATCTTTAAATCACAAACTCCACACTTCGACAGGCCTGAACGTCAAGCATCATTTCCTTCCCACATATATACTTTTCAAAGTCATTAAAATCTCAGTTTCCATCACAATTTTTCTTTCAGTTGCCCATATGCAAACAGACAATGCAAGTCCTCGGATCTTGTCATTACACATATTTTGTTTATTTTAGTGTTTCTCTTCCTTTACATGGGCATAGCAAAAGAGTCTAACTCAGACCCCTGTAACCGAAGCTCTGCACCAGAGTGTGCTCACCAAGCTTTCACGTTTATCACGTGCTTGTACTGAGCCAAGATTACTGCAAAGAGGCTGTGCCAAGAGAGGACATCAACATCATCTGCATTCGAGGAGGCAGGCAAACTTCTCTGAGAAACGTACAACACAAACTCAGATTCAGAAGTTCACAGGATCTAAACCTAGGTAAAGGCCCTGCTCCAACATGCACTCTGGAGAAGCTTCTCTTTATCCAGGGTCTATAAGAAGAGTTTCAGAGTAGCTTCCAATTTTGGCAACTGAATCAAATGCTTACAATGTGGGGAGCATCCCTTGCTCCCTCTCATATACTGTTTCTATCTCAGTGCAAGCCCGAGGAAATAACTGCTACAAAACCTCTCTCAAAGAACTTCATGGCAGTTTTCTCAACCAATGCACCAGGAACTGACTTAGGAAAGCTGAGCATGCAATGCGTACCTAACCTTCAGGTAAAACGAATCTCTTTGGCTGGAAGTTGCAGCAAACTTCTCATCAGACACAGGTTAAAAACAATGAAACCTGAAGAGTGAGAAGCTCATTTGAGAGTGCTTTCTAGTGCAGACGGTAAAATTGTCGCTTAGGTGCTGAAGATTAAAACTTCAACTCTCACTGTTATACAGCATGAACATACTTAAAGTGCTTATTCTATATGAAGATTATGATGCTTGGCCTGGATGTAAAAATTCTTAGTTTTTAAGTTCAAGACAAACTTTGTAAAGAAAAGAGGTGATATTTCAGCTTATATTTCAGCTTACTGGGTGAAAGCGAGCAGCAAGAATTACAAAGGAGGTCAGATGGAGGGTCTAATGGTGCTTTCTGGCCTCGCACCTTGCTCGTGTGAATCTGGAGCACCAATCCATACCTAATCACAGTGGTCTCAGTGATTATGTGGCCTACAAAAAGTCATAAAGGCAAGAAGGTCTTTTCTAATCCCTGTATTGCTGACCTGTACCCTGTAAACTCTGGGCTCTACGTCAACAGCAGCAATAACCAGAAAGCAGAAAATGCTGAAGGACACTGATGAGATGTCTGGAACTGGCAAGGCAGAAACAAGAATGATGCAGGAACTCTATAACAAGCCTTGCCAGTACAAACTGAAATCAGGACAGCGTGCTAGGTGCTGTACATGTATTTATGATGATGGTTTCCTTGTTCAGGATGGTTCTGATATTCAGTGCTGTCTCCAGGAATGATTAAAATATGAATTAGTGATTCACTATAAAAGACTACTTCTTCTCTAGAGAGAGAAGCTGCAACTATTGAAAGAGATATTTAAATATTGAGAACGCAGAATTTAACAAGAAACAGCAATAAAGAACCCAGCCAAGTGTTAATAAACATGGTTATTTTTCAAGGTTACAGCAATAATACATAATTTATGAAGCTTGCAGGAAGTTCTTGCCTTGATCCATTAAATTTACTTTATAATTCTTACTTTGTGGTTGGAAAAAAGAGACTTTCTAGAGTTGCAAAACCCCATGTAAGAAATTTCTAGATACATAACACATGATTCAATCCCACTTTGAGATTAGTTTCTTTAAAATATTTTTAAGTTACTAACAGCCTTTGAAAACAATAAAACACACATCTAACCCCCTACATCCCGACAGTAAATAATGTATGATAGACAGTAACCTTTTAAACAGAAACCTTCCCTTGCAAGAAGATTTACTTAGATGTTTCTGCTAACCTGGTTTTATTGTATCATTGACACATACTTTTCTAAAGTACAGTCAAAGAAATGCAGCCCAAGAAAGGCCATCATTTGTCAGCACTCGTAAGATTGACAAATAATCCCCAGTGATTAAATTAATCTAAAGCAAGCCATTAAAATTTACTTCTGTGTCACTGTATGTTCACTTTGGTTCTGTGTTTCAACTTCCCTGCACTTGGAGGCTGATTTCTGTTAATGAGCAGATATCTGTACAGAGAAGTAATGAGGATCTGAACACCAAATTCCAACATTAACTGAGTGCCATCACGAAAAAAAAATGATCACCTGGGCACTGGGGACCTGCTGACTGCTTAAAATTCTGCAGGGCACCTGTTATGCTGCTGTGGCTCCCACAAGGTGTGACAAACATCTGATGTGACAAAAGACTTTATGTGCAACGGTTAATATAATTCTTATGCCTCCATGTTTGCTTTAGAAATAATGGACAATCAGATTAATGCACTGTGTAAAACACATCATATAAACACATTTCCTGTCTTTTATTGCTCTCTATCAGCCCCATTACCACACAGAATGTTGCTTATTGATGAATAATGGTTGATACGTGGGATATCACAATTCTTCTTCTTCTCAGGAGTAGCTATATACTTAAAGCCAAATTTGTCATTGGTGATACCATTCATACTTGTTTATTCATGGTACTGGCAGTCAAGATAGAAGTATTTTTGATTTTTCGAGCTGTGCAGTACCCAGAGCTCTTATTCTGCCTAAAAGAGATAGAATAATAAACTCTTAATCATAAGCTTGACTTTAACCATTGTTCTGCTGGGATTAAAGCATTTATCTTTAAATATTTAAAGTATTTAAAAGTAGGTATATATTTAATTATGTCATTGAATAGGAGGGGGCTTAATCTTTTGCTTAAATATTTTCCTGAATTAGGATCAAGTTTCCTGGGCTCTTTAGTACTGAAAAATGTCAGAGCCTACAGGTGTAAGGTAAATTTGACTGTACCTGTAACATCCTCAGGAATGCTGCAAGTTAATTTTCAGACCTATAACATAATTATTTCATCTATTTTAAAGATACTTATTCTTACTGAGAAAGAAACCAAAATAACACTCGACTGACTAAATTGTTTTGTTCTGGTGTGAATTTATATGTGGTTACTGTACTAGTACATCTTTATCAGATCTCCATCTGACTTTGTTTTCTTTAGAAGACAGAATATAACATGTTTTTGATCCCTTTTTTCTCCTCTGATCCTTTCTTGACATATTTACTCTAGTGAATGAGGATCTTGTTCTTGCTTCTCCAGGTTAAATTTTCATTAAAGTTCTTCTGCTCTTTTTCTGTCTGCAGTACACTGTGAACATCTTTCAGACTTAATAATGTTCATACCAGAACACTGTCATAAAGGGAGATAATAGAGTTGCCTGGTGCCAAGTCTGCTATTTTGATGTTTTGGGTACCTTGATAATCCCTCCTATGTCATACGGCTCTGCTAAAGTACCTGGATTAATGCTCTGCTGATTTAAATAGATGCCTTGGAGTGTTCTGTTCCAGGGCATAATTTCCTTTATTAGTTCATCGCAGCTTCATACTGATGACCTTCAAAGTCACAGTGCAAATTTATCATCTTTCAGATTCTTCTTTGGAAAAAGCAATGACCCTGGGAAATGGAAGCCACTGAAAAAAGTTGCAAAGGGTAGTAAAAGAGTCCTAATTTTCACAAAATTTTAAGTTTTGGGTATTTCCTCCCTTTACTGTTGTGTGCAAGATCAAAATTCTGAATATTTTGAATTGACACTGTTTAAATTATAATCATGCATATATAGTGTACATAAACTGGGTAAAATGAGTATTACTACATGTCTCTTGAATTTCTGTGACTATAAAACATAACTATTGACAGAAAGGTTAAACTTCCAGAGAAAGTACTTTGGAAGTACCTTTCATTTACAGGCCTTATGTGCCAACACAGCAGACATCGAAGAAAAGAGAGAGGGCTCCACATACTCCACAAGAAGTTATAAATATGTTCCTCTGCACCAAGTGACTGACCTGGACAGGACAAATGACCACCTCCATGACACGTGTTCAGGCTCTACTGAAGAGCGAACCCCTGTTTGGGTTATGTGTCCTCAGTAGAAATCCTAGATGATCACTAGGATATTAAAAACAGCTTGAACCAAAATCTTACCTGAACAATAAACATGGCTATGTGGTGAAATTCACCCCGGCCTCCTTGCTTCACTGGGACAGTCATGAAGAATTTACTGCCATCTTTGGAGAAAACTGGTTCTTCGTTCTATAAATGTAAGATTGTGTTTGTTTGTCACACTTTCCATTAAACCTCTTAACAAAACATCCGCTTTGGGTTTTTTTGTCTCCTTGGCTTTGGTAGTTGCTGTGCTCATAATACAATCAGAGAAAAATCCCTAGATTTTAAATATATTCTGCTAAGATTAACAAAAACGTGGTGGCTAAAGGTACAGTTCATGCCAGCCATTAGCATTGTGCAATCTTGTCCTAAAGCATGGGCTACAGCCCTGGCAAAACCCTCCCTCCCAATGAAAGGTCTGGTGGTCTGATCCCTAATGCAGCGGGACTTTCCAGGACACATTCCTTTACAGACATACAGTTAACGACAGAGAGAAGTCCTACCAGTGATGAGGAGAACAAATGTTTCCATGGCCTGGACTCAGCGAAACGTTACCAAGTGCATGCTTTACACTCACTGATTTCGATAAAGTTGTATGGAAAAAATAAGCTCATTGAAGTGATATTCTGAACCATGGTTTTACCATAAACTGTAGCCTGATGTGGTACCATCTCTCTATGTCTAGCTTTACATGGAAATATTTAAGGAAAATGGCTTGCTATAAAAGCATAGATTTTTAAAAATTATTTCTCATTTGCACATTGCAAAATGAAGCCTGAAATGTATTTTAAATAGAAAGTGTTTCATCCATGTATTGGATAGCTCTTCTGAAGCTATGAAAATGGAATAATTTGCTGACACATTAGTTCAACATATTGTTCTGAGTATGAATTTAGAAATATTATTCTCATGCACTCCAATTACAGCCCATATGACCTCCAATCTTTGAACTCCTTTGGGTTTAATTTGGTGAGGTTATTTTTTAATCAGAAAGAAATCAGCACAGTATATAGGACATGCTTTGAATGGGATTTGTCTGATCTATCTTTAACCATCCAAGAGGTAGGCAGTTAATCAGCTACAAAGTATCAGTATCTAAGACCTTACTTAACTGAAAGCAGAGATGGGAAACTGAAAGGAACGTTGCCTCCGAAACCCAGACAGGTGTCTCAGTTCGAAGGGCTGAATTGCTCGCTGGAAGTGCACATCTCTTTCCACCACTGACACCATCAGCTAGAGAGGAAAACGTCCTCTGTGTGCTGCTAAGAGACAGGATTCCTACTGCCAGAGGAACAAGCTGCCATCTGAATGTTTACACAGACACTGCTATAATCCTCAGCTCTTAAATTAATTTAGGATCCTAAAAAGTATTCAATTTCAATAGGAATGGATTTTTATAGCATATAAAATAACATATATTTAAATACAAATTACAATGAAGCAATTACACATTATGCACCCAGAAATAGCATTTATACCATACCTGTTTAGGAAGCCACAGGTCTGACTGCATTTCATATTTCTAAAAAAGAAAAAAACTGCTTTTATGGCATAGCTATAAATCAAAAATATTTCTGACATTCAGCAAAAGGTCTCTAGCTATTTAATTTTTTTTCTACTACGTTACAATCTTCACATCTCTTCACTGGGACTTACATTGAAACAAATGATAATTTAATTACAAAGTCAGCTGCTTTATTCAGAGTTCTTGGTAGAACACCACAGGGGACCTAAGAACGCCTTTTTCAGTCCTTTCTGATTAGCTATCACAAAGGCTTACACAGGCAGTTCTATTTGTTTTTTACCTCTAGGCATCATTGACAACTGGGTATTTTAGGTCCTTCATCAGCACTGGGCAAACAGCCAGCATCAAGCTCTAAGTATGAGACCTTTTCAAATCACATTCCCCTGCCTTAATGGGATGCAGTGTGGCATTAGTGAAGAGAAAAAAAATAAATGCAAATTATTGTTTCTTATCGGTCACACTCATACTTCACATCATGCCATGTAAAAAGAAAATATACCACACACACATTTTGGAAAAAAAACAGAATATACATCAACTGTTGTAAATTCTCAGTGAAACTGAAGTAATGAAAATGTATTAGGTGTAGAAGCATTTGAACATACATGGCCTGAAAAATGAAAAATCTGTAGCTACTAAAGCAGCTGGGTTTTACAGTATTTTTTGGAATTGAGAACATGTGCAAAATGCTAAAAAATAATAATAAAAAAAACGGTTTAGAGTTGGAATCAAATGGTGGGATACAATATTAAATTCTCATAACACAGCCTTTCCTCATCCATTACTGAATTCGAGAGCATCATCTTACTCCAGCAGATGCAGCGCAGGGACTCTCCCGAGTTACAAGCGTGAGCCTGGTCAGAGCTGTGCTCAGTACAGCGGCACGGCATCGCTCGCCTTGCTCACCCTCCTTCAAGGTCCTTTGCTGCACTTTTATTTCTTTTAAAGTGGGACTTCTCAATCTCTTTTTTATTATGTCCTGGATTACAGCTCCCTGGATGCCTACCTCAGACAAGTCCAATTGACCTTGGAGAACACAAGGGTTTCCTTTCAGAAGCGACTGCTCACAGTGGTTCCCAACCGACTTTCTTAATAAAAGGGCCCAAGGCTTGTAGGAACCAGGTAAAAAGCAACCCAGCCAACAAATCTCCATGTTCACAAACTTAATCCATAGTCTGGGGACTTACTTGCCGTTTCTGAGTCAGGAAAAGTAACCTGCACTACTTAGCAAAAGAGGCACACAAGCTCTGAAATTATCCCTAATTCTTTAACATGACTGATTTCAGTAGCAGACACTGATGGGAGCCTTTTGACTCAGAGGCCAAACTCAGACTTACATTAATCACTCATAACCATTACGCTACCAAATTACACCCTCTACTTTGGAGTATCTGTTGGTAGTGATATTAGCATGTATAGAAAATATTTATAATTTAGCTAGTTCTGGGAAGAGACCATGACTCAGAATGGGAAAGTGGCCAACTGCACTCAAGATACAAGATCGACTGAGAAAATGGAGCGAGGTAACGCAGGAGTGTCAGAAGTCAAAGTCTGGGTCAAGGAATGGGATGTGTCTGGACTCAAAAAGAAAAATGTATCTCAGCTTGGCTTACGTTCAAAATGAAATATCCCTGTTGCCTTTCAGTTTTATTTTTTATCTAAAGTTATTTAATTCTGCTATCAAATTTGTGGGAATTAGCAGAATATTACACCTTTTCCTTTAAACGTATGTAAGCTGTGAGAGACAGAAAGATCAGAAATGAAACTCTGTAGGGGGAGAGGAGAAACCAGATAGCTGAAAATACCCAACAGAAGACAAGCTTGTCACTGTGCTAGCTATATCCAAAATACATGATGTTCAGCAACTGCAGTTTCCACTGAACTTAATGAATGAACAAAGCTTAGTAATTGTGAAAATGTCACTCAAAGTTGCTAATTGCATGAAATCATTTCACCAGATTTGGAATTTTCTCACATCCATTTCCTCCCTGTTGACTAATTATATTCAGCTTGCAACTACTGCATCTGCAAACTGATTTTTGAAAATCTTTTTCCTGAATATGAAAACAAAACGCAGGAAGAAACCTTCAAAAGAGAGCTTAGGAAAAAATCCAACTTACCCTGCTGCATGCCCCAGTTGTGGTTTCACAAACGGTAAGGATGGAGATATTCTGGGGTCTGTTTAACCATCTCACCACAGCCTTGGTGTTGCTTACCCATTTCACCATGGTGATGTAATATTCCCTAAGTAAACATTTGAAAACACAATGTCCAGATCATTCCTATCTCAGATTAGACTTTTTCTAAAAAAAAAAAAAAATAAATATATATATACAGTTTATCAAATTCTGGATTCGTACTGCATGACAGTATCAGTACTGAAGGATGGAGAAAAAAACCCCAAATGCCCAGCATCTGTGTTCCTACAAGTGGGAAGGCTCAGACCCAGTGTGCCGTTCCCCTGGGAAATTTGTACTCTGTTAGCACCTCCTTCTCAGCCATTTGCAATATATAAACTTTACCAACTGTGAAACGTACACTTGTGAAACATATGTTTGTGAATATACATGAACCAGGTACATGCTGGCCAGACTAAAAACAAACACTAAATTCCAAGAGAAATCAGTATTTTCCTGTACCAAATACTTTCAGAAGACACACGTTTTTGCAAAACAATCCAGCCCTACTGCCAAACAAAAACCCAAAAACCACAAAAATTAACAAGTATTTTATAACGAGACGTCTACATAAAAGGGAAGTCACATCCAGTATCAGCACATGTCAACTCCCATTTTAACAAATGGCTCATATCAGTCAAATTGTCTGACCCCCAACAACCCCAGCTGAGCAAGGG